TTAGTTTCTCTGGTTTGGTTTCTCTGGTTTGGTTTCTCTGGTTTGGTTTGTTCACTGGTTTGGTTTCTCTGGTTTGGTTTCTCTGGTTTGGTTTGTTCTCTGGTTTGGTTTCTCTGGTTTGGTTTCACTGGTTTGGTTTCTCTGGTTTGGTTTCTCTGGTTTGGTTTTTCTGGTTTGGTTTGTTCACTGGTTTGGTTTCTCTGGTTTGGTTTCTCTGGTTTGGTTTCTCTGGTTTGGTTTGTTCACTGGTTTGGTTTCTCTGGTTTAGTTTCTCTGGTTTAGTTTCTCTGGTTTGGTTTCTCTGGTTTGGTTTGTTCACTGGTTTGGTTTCTCTGGTTTGGTTTCTCTGGTTTGGTTTCTCTGGTTTGGTTTCTCTGGTTCAGTTTGTTCTGTAGGACTGAAGTAGTAACTGGTTCTTCTCCGTCTCAGATCATCCCGGACATCTCCACGCTCCCCTGGTACACCACTCTGTTTCCTCTGGTCATCGTTTTGGGAATCACTGCGATCAAAGACCTGGTTGACGACCTGGTGAGGCGGCCATGTTGGATCCGCAGACTTTAGCTGCTTTCTGACGCGTTTAAAACGGATAAATGAAGGAAAATGCTGGTTGGACTGTGCTGGACTTCAGTCTCTGTTGTCCTTCAGGCGCGTCACAGGATGGACAAGGAAGTCAACAACAGGAAGTGTGAAGTTTTGCTGGATGGACGGTCAGATCAGGTTTCAGTTCATGATTATTTTGTTCTTTATTGCATGAAAAGCTGAATATTGTGTTTTTCCTTCAGGTTTAAGGAATCGAAGTGGATGGACGTCCAGGTTGGAGACGTCGTCCGCATGAAGAAAAACGACTTTATTCCCGTATGTTTGGTTTTATTTGCTCTTTTAAAAATTATTCTTCAAATTCATCATTTTGTCCCTTAAATTTGAGCTACAACATGTTAATGTTTTGTTTGTGTTACTGGCATATAACACACAACGGGACATTTAAGATGAAGATGGTTTATGTATTTCATTGAGCAGATCCTCTGTGGGCTGATGTTTGTTCTCCTCCTGCATGTTTCCTGTTTCCTTCAGGCCGACATCCTGCTGCTGTCCAGCTCCGAGCCCAACAGCTTGTGTTACGTAGAAACCGCCGAGCTGGACGGGTAAGAGCTTCTAAAACAAAACCATTTTTAATATTACAGGATTTATTCTAGAAATTCAAACCAGTATTTTCCCAGCAGGATCATCTGATTGGTGCCGTTTTATTTGTTCCTGATTGCTGAGTCGACTCATGACTCAGCAGTAAAGTGTAAATCTAACAGCTGGAGTTTCTTCATGTTTATCTTAACATTACAAGCTGAGTTTAAACAAAGTTTCTAACAGGAAATTCATCCGTGACATCGAACCAAAACAAACTTCTGATCAGAAACTTTTAACATTTTACTGTCAACATGCTGAGAAGTTTTACTTTCTGCTTTTTTAAAGTCTGTAACTTTGGATGCAGCTCTGGTTCAGTCAGCTCTGATTTCTCAGGAAATGTTAGAAATAATTCAGATATTAATCATTTTGCAGAGAAACCAACCTGAAGTTTAAGATGGGGCTCCGAGTGATGGACCAGAGGCTGCAGGAGGAGCGACATCTGGCCCAGTTCAACGGTAAACTGGTCTCTGGACCCTCATGGTCCAGAGACCATGAGGGTTTATCTAACCAACAATGTTTTACAGTGTAAACAGACGTTCTGCAGCTCTGCATCAAAATGAACCTGAGTTTTATGTATAAATGGTTCATGTGGGTGAAAAAATCATCTGGAAAAAGTTTTGGATTATTAAGAGGATAAAATGTATGGAGATAAATTGGGGCCACAGTTTTAGTTTTTTTGTTTAAATGTAGCTTTCAGTGTGACGGTGTCAAATAATTTAGATTTTCATGGAGCTAAATTTGGGCCATAAAGTTTGTCTGAGTTCTTTTAAAACTAAAAACTATTTTTACATTTTGAAAATACAAAATAAAAAATTCCGTTTTTTTCCTTATATTTTTCAAATTTCTGTCAGATTTTTTTTGTGTCATTGACACATTTTTATCCGTTTCAAAATTATTTCTGTTCAGTTTGAAATATTTCAGTGAAATATATACTTCTTTTGTTTGTTGTTGCTTATTAGTTTTAATTGGCTACTTAAATTTAAACTTGGATTATGTGACATCATCAACTGTTAATGATAAAAACTGAAATTTTAATTTTTATTGTTTTTACACATTTTTTTCAGTTTTTCTAACTTTTTGTTTCATCTGCCAATCAGGGCTGAGTTTCCTGATTCTCTGAATTATTAAACTGATCATTTTAATGTAGTGAAACTTTTAGGGTACAAAAGTCAAAGAAATAAATGGGAATAAATAAACGCAGCATTAATTATTTTGCACTAGCCCCTTAACTGTCTAAATGAAATGTTAACGGTATTTTAGTCACTTGTTTAGTTCCCTATCATCTGATTGCAGCTCTGATCGAATGTGAGGAACCAAACAACCGGCTGGACAAGTTTACGGGGACGATGCTGTGGGACGGCGAGCGTTACCCTCTGGAGCTGGACAACATGCTGCTGCGAGGATGCAAAATCCGAAACACCGACTTCTGCCACGGCCTGGTCATCTTCGCAGGTCTCTGCTGTTTTAATGGTTTTCCTTTCTTTGAAATTTAGCCTAAAATGAATAGGCATTAACTCATGAGGTGGTTTAGATGATTGGTGCCTGGACTCTGTTGTAGGAGCCGATACCAAGATCATGAGGAACGGCGGCAAAACGAGGTTCAAGAGGACCAAGATAGACGAGCTGATGAACTACATGGTTTACACGGTGAGACGGACGTCAGCTTTAATTAAACTAGGGTTTCTGTTACATTTTATATTTCAGTATAAAAAGTGAGTTATTTACTTCTGACATTTTCTTTTCTCAGAGTTCTGACTTTATTTCTCAAAACTTTGAATTTTATTTTTTAATTTGAACATAAGAATATTTGGTTATTTATTTGATGTGACTCGATGCAGAATTAAGTTTCTTAGGGAAAACAGTAAATTTATTTTTATTGTTGGCCCTGATGTTGTTCCGTATTTGACACCCAGTCAGTGTGATGCAGCAGGAACAGGGCTGCTTGCTGTGGCGCCCCCTGTGGGCAGCAGCTGCTGAAGGCGTTGTGTTTCCTCTGTGCAGATCTTCGCTCTGCTCATCCTGGTGTCGGCCGGACTCGCCATCGGTCACTCCTTCTGGTACCAGGACATCGGAACCAGCTCCTGGTACCTGAACGACGGCAAAGACCAAACCGTCGCCTACAGAGGCTTCCTCAGCTTCTGGGGCTACATCATCGTCCTCAACACCATGGTGCCCATTTCCCTCTACGTCAGGTCAGGATCGGCTGCAGAGACATTAAATTAGCATCAGTTTGTCTGTTGGTTAAAGTAACACCGTTATGTTTTACAGTGTGGAGGTGATTCGTCTGGGCCAGAGTAAATTCATCAACTGGGACCTGCAGATGTATTATTCAGAGAAAGACACACCAGCTAAGGTACCAAACGACCGATGGTCAAACTTTCTGAGACTCAGAACTTTTTCCATCTCGGCTCCTTCCTGTTTCAGGCCCGAACGACGACCCTGAACGAGCAGCTGGGGCAGATCCAGTACATCTTCTCCGACAAAACGGGAACTTTGACGCAGAACATCATGCAGTTCAAGAAGTGCACCATCGCCGGGCGGAGTTACGGTGAATATGAGCCGCTTCAGAAACCCTGAACGAATCAGAGCTGGAGATGAAATGAAAATACCTTTAATATTCTCAGTTTATGGCTAAAGTTGAGGCTAACGCTGTGACAGTACATATTGGTAAACCTGAAACTAAGAGACATTTTTATTTCTGACATATTTACTTGAAGTAGAAAGGAAACGATGAGAACTAAAATGTGTTTTTGTCTTTTCCTGTCAGGAGGCCCAACCACGTCTGAAGGAGCATCTCTGGACAAAATAAAGGTACGAGTCGATTCGATAAACCATCAGAGAAGGTTCATCTGATCCAAACACATTTAATGATAAACTATCTGACTTTTACCAGGTTTGAAATGTAAATTATAGATTTATACCAATAAATCAAACCACGTCTGGATGAAACGTGCAGATTCCACCATATTATGATGAAAACCTCAGATAAAATGTTTAATGTCTTTTGTTTTGACTATAATTTATGATAATATACCAAAACGCCTCCTTGTCTGTCCTGCCTGCCAGCCGGTGGACTGGACCTGGAACCGCCACGCTGACAGGAAGTTCCAGTTTGTTGACCACTTCCTGGTCGCCAACATCAAATCCAAGAAGGACAAAGATGCTCTGGAGTTTTTCAAGCTTCTGTCGCTGTGCCACACGGTCATGGTGGAGAGCAACGAGGGTAAATGAATGACTTGGAGAGAGGAGACACCTGAAGGTTTAGAGCAGAAACTCCAGCTGATCTCATTCCTCCTGTTCCAAGGAGGCGAGTTGGTGTATCAGGCTGCGTCTCCTGATGAGGGCGCTCTCGTGACGGCAGCCAGGAACTTCGGCTTCGTGTTTCTGTCGCGCACCCAGGACACCATCACCATCTCTGAGATGGGCCAGGAGGCGACCTACGAGATGCTGGCCCTGCTCGACTTCAACTCTGACCGCAAGCGCATGTCGATCATCCGTAAGGCCGAACGCCAGCTAACGTTAGCATAGCAGCCCAGAATAAATGACGTTAGCATAGCAGCCCAGAATAAATGACGTTAGCATAGCAGCCCAGAATAAATTACGTTAGCATAGCAGCCCAGAATAAATTACGTCGGCGTAGCAGCCAGCTGACGTTAGCGTAGCAGCCCAGGATAAATGACGTCGGCGTAGCAGCCCAGGATAAATGGCGTAGCAGCCAGCTAACGTTACCATAGCAGCCCAGAATAAATAATGTTGGCGCCGCTGCCGCCAGCTAACGTTGGCGTAGCGGCCCAGGATAAATGGCGTAGCAGCCAGCTAACGTTGGCATAGCGGCCCAGAATAAATGACGTTAGCATAGCAGCCCAGAATAAATAAAGTTAGCATAGCAGCCCAGGATAAATGGCGTAGCGGCCAGCTAACGTTGGCATAGCGGCCCAGAATAAACCCTGCTGATCAGACTCGGCACCGTGTCACATGAAGATCGGATCCTGCAGCATGTCTGCTCCTCTTCCAACCCATCAGTAGATGAAGGCTGTCTGGTCCGTTTGCATGCAGAGTCCGGTTCTGTTGAGGTCACATCAGTCTTGGTTCAGCTGAAGTGAAAAGCAGGAAGTGGACTGCAGAGCAGTGCATTCTGGGTAGAGACACCAAAACAAAGGGAGAGTTAACCAAACACTGTTTCATGTTGGATGCTAACATTACGTTTCTCGTTCATTAGAAGCAGAAGTGTTTGAATTTAACTCGTCTCGTTTCCAGTGAAGTTTCCTGACGGACGGATCCGTCTGTACTGCAAAGGCGCCGATACGGTCATCTATGAGCGGCTGTCCCCAAACACCCGACACAAGGAATCCACCCAGACCGCGTTGGACGTGAGTCTCTGCTCCTCTTCAGAGACATGAACAGGACAGGAAGGACAGGATGCGTTTTGTCTTGCAGATCTTTGCCAATGAGACGTTGAGGACGCTCTGCCTGTGTTACAAGGACATCAGCGCCAGCGAGTTTGAGGCTTGGTCCCGCAGACACAAAGAGGCCCAGCTGAACATGGTGGACAGGGAAGCCGCCCTGGACAGAGTCTATGAGGACATCGAGAAGAACCTGATGGTTGGTGGGAAACACAAACTAGCATCAGCTTCTGTAATCCAGCTCTGCTGATTGGTGGCGTTTGCTTCCTGCAGCTGATTGGAGCAACAGCCATTGAGGATAAACTTCAGGATGACGTTCCAGAGACCATCGCCAACCTGGCCAAGGCTGGCATCAAAATCTGGGTCCTGACCGGCGATAAGAAAGGTGCCTTCCCCTTCAGACTGTAGAGCAGGCAGGAAATGATCCGACGTCCCTGTAGAGACGGAACCGAGTCTGAAAGTTTGTCTTTCCTTCAGAAACGGCAGAAAACATCGGATACTCATGTCAGCTGCTGACGGACAAGATGCAGATCCACTATGGAGAGGATGTCAAGTGAGTCTGATCAGGTTCTGCCAATCAGAATCTGAGATGCTCAGTGCTGCCACCAGCAGAGGGCGCTGCTAGCTAAACGGCTAGTTAGCCCTAAATAATCATAAACATTAGTTCTGCTAACGCACTATACCAATATAGTGATTAGCAGAAGTGTGTTGGTTAGCACCATGCTAATACAGGCAGATAAATGCTAACAAATGATCCAAGGCCTGAGAGCAAATCTAAGATTCACCAGGATACATCTGCAATATTCAACTTTAATCTGAGATTTTTATATTTTTAAAACATTTGCAGTGGGAAGCTGCTGGCCCGTCAAGCTGCCAGGAGAAATGAAGCTCCATCACATCGACTTGGCAAAAAGAAACCGGATGAGCCTTTCTTCCCTGGAACCATCAACAACGCTCTGATCATCACTGGAGGATGGCTGGTTAGACTCTCTCTCTCACAGCAGCCTTGGAAAATGACCAAAGCTCTGCTGGCAGTTGTTAAGACGATCTTTCTGTTGGAGAAGTTAAAGTTTCCTTTCTGTTTTGGGAGAGTCAAAGTTTTAAAATCGATACAGTCGTTCAAATATCCTGCAGGTTCTGGAAGGAACCTTTACCTCCTGGTCAGTGCTGTCGGTTTCATGACTGATTAGGATGTTTGTCTTCGTAGAACGAGATTCTTTATGAGAAGAAGAAGAAACGCCGCCGGCTGCGTCTTCGCCGCTTGGGAAGGAGACAAACTCCGAGCAACCCTCAGGACCCGATGGACGACCAGGAGAAGGAAATGAGACAAGTGAGAGCAGCATGCACAGCCACTAGAGGGAGCTGCTGCACCGCAGCCTGAGCGGCGGCCATCTTGGAACAACGTGTCGAACTTTTTGTCCCGCAGGTCGACTTCGTGAACATGGCCTGTGAGTGCGAGGCGGTGATCTGCTGCCGCGTCACGCCCAAGCAGAAGGCCAACGTTGTGAGTCTGGTGAAGAAGTACAAGAAGGCCGTGACGCTGTCCATCGGAGACGGAGCGAACGACGTCAACATGATCAAAAGTAAGGAAGCAGATGACCTCTGACCTTTAAACCCCGACCTGACCCATGGTCCTCTGTCCCTCCAGCCGCCGACATCGGAGTGGGCATCAGCGGTCAGGAGGGGATGCAGGCCGTCATGTCCAGCGACTACGCCTTCGCCCAGTTCTCCTACCTGCAGCGCCTCCTGCTGGTGCACGGCCGCTGGTCCTACATCAGGATGTGCAAGTTCCTCCGTTTCTTCTTCTTCAAGAACTTCGCCTTCACTCTGGTCCATTTCTGGTACTCCTTTTTCAACGGATACTCCTCTCAGGTCAGCAGCGCTGCACGGTCCGATACGCTCCGACAGTGACCTTTGACCTCTAAGGCTGCATTCACAGCAGCCCTGTTTAGTTCACTTTAATCAAACTGTAGTTTGTCTAGAACGTCTGGTTCATTTGGGGAGGTGGGGATGAAAATCTAATGAGGATGACTGAACCTGTGTTGTCTCTGCAGACGGCCTATGAGGACTGGTTCATCACGCTCTACAACCTGGCCTACAGCAGCCTGCCGGTCCTGCTGGTCGGACTCCTGGACCAGGTACAAACTGGTTCCTCTGGATGTCTGAGGTTTTATTTCACTCGTTTCCACTCGAGCTGCCCTGCAGGTTCCTGAGGGGAAACATGTCAGCTGATTAGAAATGTTGTTCATTTGAAATGGTTTTATTTTGTGAATCAGAAACTTTAAAATTTGGAGAAACTGCTGAGTTTTTTGGTTTTTCATGACGGTTTAGTTTCATTTTGTTGTGACTTTTTGTTTGTATATTTCAGTTAATTTTAAAGTGGGTTTGCTAGTTTTATTTATTAGTTAAATGTTTTTTATTCGTGTTGGTAGTAGCTTTTTAGTTTCATACTTCAGTTAATTTTTAGGTGCAGAACTCAAAGTATTGTTATACATGAATTGGGTAATTCTCATCAAAAGACGCCATTTTGAATTATTGTTGAACAACAAACTGATTCTGGTGTTTGACAACTTTTTCTGTCACCATTTTCTGGACTAGCGTAGCATAGCATAGCGTAACGTAGCATAGCATAATGTAGCGTAACATGGCCAACAGGAGGATTATGGAGCAACATAATTTGCAAACTGCTTTTATGGGGAAAATTAATTTTCTATCAGTTTGAAAACAAAATCTAAACTAATACTAAACAATATTTAACTAATAAAAACAGCAACAGACTCTAGAAACTAAATAAAATGAACAAAATCACAATGAAATAAAATTAAACTACAATGAAAAACCCAAAACTATTAAAATGAACAGGCATGCCTCCTACTGTCCACCAGGTGGAGCTGCTGCACTCTCTTCTCTTTTAATTTTCTTTCCAATGAACAGAATTAAAAGCTAAAACCTTTGAAAGTCTCAGTAAATATCAGTATAAATCAGTTTAACTAATTTACTTTGTGTCTTATATCAGAATCAGGTGTTTTGTCTAGAAGTTGACCTTATTTAGGGACCAACTCAGTGAAATGTGTTTCCTGATGTTTGTTCCTGCAGGACGTGAACGACGAGCTCAGCCTGAAGGTCCCGACGCTGTATCTGCCCGGCCAGCAGGGGTCGCTGTTCAACTACAAGAACTTCTTCATCAGCTTGTTCCACGGCATCTTCGTGTCGCTCATCATCTTCTTCATCCCGTACGGAGCGTTCCTGCAGACCATGGGGCAGGACGGCGAGGCGCCCTCCGACTACCAGTCCTTCGCCGTGGTTACGGCCTCGTCGCTCGTCTTCATCGTCAACCTGCAGGTCAGAACAGGAAAGTAACGAGTCGCCTGACTGAGGATGAAGTCGTACAGCAACAGGCTGAGTAGCTGAGAAGTCATGATAATATCTGAACAAAATCATTAAAAACAGAATAAAGTCGTAATATTAGAACTCCTGCACTGAAAATAATAAAAGCTTTCAGTTTATTTCAGAGTGAAACATGGACTGATTTATTCTGGTCATGTTAGATCTGGATTCATTATTAGAGCTTTTTCTCATTAAAACCACTTTTATTTCTTATAATTTATGATCTTCTTCTGGAAATATTTATTTTCTGCTGATGTGATTTTATTCTCCTAATATCAACCAAAAGAGCCAAA